TGTTTCTTGCCCGTGTCGCCCGTGTCGCCCAAACTAATGGCTAAGTCACACGCGGCTTATCATTAAACTTTTAGGTTGTAACATTTGTACTGATATGTAACTAAAGTTACTATTACGTAACATTTTGGTGAGCAATGGCTAACAAAATTATATAAAGTACAGCGTATTACCTGATACAGTATTTTCAATAAAATAGCATTATCACCAACAAGCGCTGCTACTACAGCAAATGCGAGGCTGACACTGAAGCATTACCTTTTGTTTCCGCTCAGAGACGTGCCATGTGACTCATTTCCTAGCGCGTACAATTTATATTAGTTCAGTGTTCACTGTTTGACTTCTGATATTCAGATCGAGTTCTAGGTCAAACTGGTTTGTTCGACTTTCAAGAAATTCGAGTTTTAGTGAGTTCGAGAACCGAGGTACCACTGTACAAGGTTGCGCATGAACATGCTTTATTTCTGTCTGATTGTTGCGTTTCAAAATCATACTGCAGAGGAAACCTCTTCTTTTCTCAGACGTCCTGGAAATTGTAGCTTTTATGGACGCTACGTCGCTACTTGAGCAAAAAAATAACGTAACTACTGGAAAGTTATTTGATTCAGAAATCAGCGACGCTACAGGCAAGCTACTAGAAAATGTATTTAAACTAATAGCTTCGCTACATGTAGCGGCGCTACCGCCCATCACTGACACTAGGGTTCGGGCCATTCCAGAATGCATTGATCAATTCCAGTCCAAAGCGGGATGGATTTTTAATTTTTAATTTCTTTAAATTATAGATTAGTTTTTGTTTAGAAGCCAGACAAGCTGGACAGCTCCTTTACCTTGTTAGCACTGTCAGCTCTATAGGCAGCTGTTGATAGATTGGTAGCTGTGTTGCATAGATAGACAATAGAAACAGGGCCAGCAGCTGTTACCTTGTGCAGGAGAACAGCAAGCCTTCCTTACTCTTTCTGCAGTTTGTAGTTGAAAATATTCCGAAATCTTAGATAACATTCCTGCTGAATTTCATGTTGAAACTTTTAAAGTTGTGCTGACTTAAAGCAACACACCCAAGTTAATAAAACAACAGAAAGAAACAAAACACATAGGAGCTGCTATTGCTGGCTGATGATGAGTTTTGCTCATTAACAATTACTCACTTCTGAAGGATCAAAGATGAGAGATGTGGAGTGTGAGGACTGTCCATACGGCTATTACTCAACACAGAGTGTAAATTGCACACTATGGAAAAGGTAAGTAAGCCTTTCTTAAATGTGAGAGAAGTTAATTCAGTGGAGTGTTACACCTGTCAGTCTGATTTCTGCTCACTTGATTCATGAAGTAACAATTGTCATGAATGTGCAGTGTTTCATATGTTTGCAAATCATTTAAATAATTTTGTTCATTTTCAGCTGTACTGCTGATGAGGAGAAGATTGAAGATGGAAGCAAATGGAAAGATGTTGTTTGCCAGAAATTAACCATGTTAAAAAAGTTCTTTGCTTTAGTTTTGGTTAGTTTATCAACCCGTTTATCATATTAACGTTCCATCCTTACCATAAGCATTTCATTTATATTAGGCAATTAAACGTTAATAGATTATACTATATACCATGCACCTCCTATGGAATATTATTTAGCACTATACAACGTAGAATATACTCATGATATTATTAAAAAGCATGCCAAAATACCCATGATGTAATCATTACAATGTAATCATTATAATGTAATCAACACAATGTAATCAATTGAGTATGTATTTGCACCTTATGTTACCCTAAGAGTTTCTGTTAGCTACTTTATGTTAGCCCTGATTGTATGAATATCCACCTTTATTAGTGTTATACCTTATCACTATGTTGAAGGAAAATATAATATCAATCCACTAATTAGACAATGTGCAACAGGCTGAAGCTGCCAAGGTTTGCTACTGAAGGAAGGGATTCATCTGAGTTCACCAGAACTTCACAGCTGGGTATTTTTAGAAAAACCAAGTGGAGATGGTTATGCCACCATTATGTTCGGCCGAGGGACCAAACAGTAAATGAAATGATGGACAAAGTTATCACCTAGGGCTGTGAATTAAGGGAAAAAATGATGATTGTGAATGGTTGAATGAAGGAACGATGATGCTCAAGTGACGAGGTATTGTTACACAATAAGAAAATGTATAAAAATTGGTGTAAAACAGTACTGGACACACTTGTAAGTGTCCGGCCTTGGTTGTAACTTCAAAGGCTTCCTTAGAGATGTGTTACTTAGTTTTCCTATTACATTTTTTTTATAAGGAAACAACTTCATATTTTGAGCCCATCTTTATCTTTTCAACAAATATGTTAATTTGCTTTGGTCTTAATTATGGTTGCTTTGGTATGTTTTAATTGATTTTCTAATTAGTTTATAATTTTTACATTTGCATAAATCTGTTGTGACAATCATATAAAATATTTCACCATTGAAATACGTGGGATTATTCATCACTGTTACCCATAAAACATTGCCATATTTAAGAAGGATATCGATACTCGATAGGCTCTATGCGCGCAATGTATGTGACGTATTTCCGTTAGACAGTATAGCTTCAGGTTCATGGGGTCGATAGCTAGACTAAAAACAAAACAGTGATGTTGTGCTGAAAAGCTGTGAATATTCTTTTTTATATATAAAATGAGTAAGAAGGTAGTAACACCCTTTATCATAATTAAGCATTTTAAGAAAAACGGTTGTTTTATTATCCCAGGGTTGCCAGTTTGCACGTATCTGGCGTGACACGCTTTCTGACTCTCACTCATGCAAGAAATTATACGGCAAATCTATATTATTCCATTATAAAACTAAAATTAGCTGCATCAATACAGACTATTTACAATTTAATAATATTGATACATGCATGTAAATGTGTGCAGACTTGTCTCGAATTGAAAATCTCTGGCCATCCAGCTGACCAAAGTTGTTGACACTGATTATCCTTAGTAAAATACTGCACAAGGAAGTATTTTGAAATAATATGGCTAATGTTGGAGTACGCCGTCTCCACCGGGTCCGTTGATAAGAAGAGATTCACAGCTGAGACGTGGAGAAGTTGCAGGTCACCAGTTTATTCCTTACACAGATCGATCTGGGAGCCACGCTCTGACATACATTCAGCATGTACAAGAGGAAGTTCAACCATATGTATCAGCTGAATCCCTTTTAAAGCCCTTTGGGCATCCCCCCCTCTCTCGGTACCTTCCGTCTACGTGACAACCACATGTTTGACGTTTGCTCTAGTTAGTCGGTTAGTACTTGTCCTTCTGGAAGGCTAAAGATAAGTAAGGGCTGCTTACGTTGTCTGTCGGCTCCCTCTATCTGTCTCGATGAGGTTTGAGATTATCAAAAGGGAACCACTGCAGAAGGAAGGTATTTTATTCAGAGCTGACTGGTAAACGTGTCCAGGCACTGTATTTCAAAATAGGTTTTCTACCCATACAACTGCATGGCGATGAATAAAATATCGCGGCAAAATTTAAAATTCATCACTGCTGCCATTGATCAACTGTCTTCCAGTAGCCCATCCTTTTGTGTCAAAAGGTATGAGAATTATTAGCTGTAAATAACTAGGATGAGTCTTTTAAGTTCAAGCAGGATATCTTTAAATATTTCCTATGCCTGTGAACTCAGCGTCAGATTTATATTTAAAAAGTTATTCATTAGCACAGATAATTACCCCGTTTTTCATGTGAAGCATGTCCTGCTCCACATAGGCCACTGGTCTTTGTTCAGATCGTCTCGATTGAAGTTGAAAGTGTGTTTTAAACTTAGACATGCAGCATAAGTTTTTCTCATCCAGCTTCTCTTTAAAGAGAAAAAACATCACGAAAGGCAAAACTAACACTTTATTAAGAACTGATGAGAAAAAAGTAATGATAACAGCAGATTTCTGGGGTGGGAAAATTTTAAATCTATTAATAAGAGGGTAGAGAAAATAAAACCATTTGCTGGTGCACTGGGTTAACTCTGACAATGAAATATGACACTACTGTTAGATAGATAACACAAAAGATTAAAGAGTGTAAAAGAGAGCCTTGTCGTCTGGGTTTTTGACAAGCACAAAGAAACCGGAAGACGTGCGTTCATAGAGCCTACATCACATGTTCCTTTGGTTGTGACTGTGAAGAAACAAGTTATAACATTAATGTTACATAAAATATACCCAAAATGTCAAAAAAAAATTGTTTCAAACTCAGCCTTCAGTTATTAAATTCTAAAGTGTGTTCATAATATAAACTTTTTCGTCAAAACAAGATAAACTACGAGTGATTTGACCGAGTGATTGAGGGAAATAGCAAAGGAGGATGTTTTGCATAAGAAAAACATGAAAACCAATAAAAATATTGTTATTAAAGATATTAGCAAGGTTTTGCATATAATCTTATGATGTAACTAAAATTGTAATCATCAATGTTTCCACTACTCTAAATTGCCCATAGGTGTGACTGCGAGTGTGTGTGGCTGTTAATTTGTCTGTTGGCCCTGTGGTGGATTGGCGGCCTGCCCAGGGTGTACCCCGCCTCTCACCCGAAGATGCTGGGATTGGCTCCAGCGACCCAGATGGATTGAGCGGTATAGGTAATGGATGGATGGATGGATGAATATTTCCATAAGTAACTGTAATTTAATTACACTTTTTTCTCTAGTAACTGTAACGGATTACAATTACATTTTTTGTAATTACGTAACGCCGTTACATGTAACTCGTTACTCCGCAACACTGCTTACATGCATGTAAATTTATCAGTCAAAAACCAAACTTTACAGTGTTTAAGACAGTCATATTGTTATATATTATACCCTGAAATCCTGTAAGACTTCTAAAGCAGTCAAGACCTTGACTTTTTATAATGATGTTAACCTTTCTCAAAGCTTGATGTGCTCTTGACAGTTTGTGCTCTTGCTAGGTTTTATTTTAGTTTATTTAGTGATTATTTGTCATTGTTGACACACCACAGCACACAGTGCACAACAACGAAATGTGTCCTCTGCATTTAACCCATATGTGACATTCGTGACATAGCAGGGGGCAGCTAATTCAGCGCCCGGGGAGCAGTGCTTGGGGGCGGTACCTTGCTCAGGGTACCTCAGTGATGTCTTCCTGGTTGGGGATTTGAACCTGCAATCTTGTTATTTGTATTCTTGTTATTGACTGCATAAAATAGTGAGTTTATTCATTAATTAAAAAAGAGGGAATGCTGTACACAGATACGACATATTGCAATAAGTACTGGGACACCCCTCCAAATCGATGAATTAAGTTGTTCCAATCACTCCCATAACCACACGTGTATAAAATCAAGCACCAAGGCTTGCAGACTGCAAACTTCATGGAATGGATTTCCCATGGCCAAGCAGCTGCATCCAAGCCTTTCATCACCAAGCGTAATGCAAAATGTCGGATGCAGTGGTGTAAAGCACACTGCCACTGGACTCTAGAGCAGTGGAGACATGTTCTCTGGAGTGATGAATCACACTTCTCTGTCTGGCAATCTTATGGGCGAGACTGGGTTTGGCGTTTGCCAGGAGAATGGTACTTGACTGCATTAATGCCAAGTGTAAAGTTTGGTGGGGGGAGGATTATGGTGTGGGGTTGATTTTCAGGGGTTGGCCTTAGTACCGTAGTTCCAGTGAAAGGAACTCCTAATGCTCTTAATGTCTCAGTGCCTGACCTCACAAATGCTCTCCTGGAAGAATGGTCAAAAATTCCCATAAACACACCCTTAATCTTGTGGACAGCCTTCCCAGAAGAGTTGAAGCTGTTATAGCTGCAAAGGGTGGGCAAACTCCATATTAAAGCCTATTTATTAAGAATGGGACGTCGTTAAAGTTCGGGGGTGGTAAATTCCCATTACTTTCGGCAATATAGTGTATATATATGGAAAAAATCTCTCATTTAAAGATGTGTTGTTTGAATTTTATAGTGTCTGTCATTCTAAACAAAAATAATATCTTATAAATCTTATCATTCTGGTAAAATTTTACAGACATAAAAGTAAATATTGTAATAGAACACCTAGATTATTTTTGAAAACGAACTTCAACAATACCCATAAACTCCAAAATGCCCCTGCATTGTTCTTCATTGTTTTTTCCAAGTATTTTCTTCTGACTCTGTGTTACTACAGAAAACTCATAGCTGACCTGCATAACGCCGGTACAGAAATAGAAAAACATCCGTCCATTATTATTGTAATCAATACTTATTCTAGATGGGGCTGTATTTTACATTAATCAAATAATTCAACACATACATCTGAAGCATGAAATTGTATCCACCAAAAACAGTTTTATAATTGCGTGACCAGGACTTACGTCAGCGGCTCACAGACGCCTTCTTATTTTTGTAAACGGGTGATATTCTAAAATTCCTTCTTTGAAATGGCCTGGATGACGTTGTATGTTATTTTCGGGTGAGTTTATAGTGGGAATTGATACTGAGAAGATGAGGGGGGTTTTAAACACCTTGAAATTAGTCTTACAGGAAAAAACCCAGTACGAGTGTTGTAATTACGCTGAGCGGGTGGTCTCTCCGCCACTAAAATAATGATAACATCAAATGAACTTACCTACCAACATTGCAATAAGTTCGTTTGCTAAATAATGACCTTCTTGCTGATGTTTTCATGAAATATTTAGGAAAATACAGTCACTTATTTCTAAATTTAGCGGTGTAATGCTTGATTCTGTTCCGTTTCTTCCGCATTCTTTGTATCTTAAGGCGAGGCTGTTCTATGCTGCGCAGAGACTATATATATTTAATATTCGGTTCATTATGGTGTCCATGAGCGCTATAGACCGCCCAGAAGTTGTATGCGTGCTTTTCAATATCAGTGCTCATGCGGAGCATCGTCGCGTTTCTGTCTGCATCTGCGTTGTGGTAAGATGGTAGTGAAAAAATATCCGGTGGGGCGTTAAGTGCCCTGCTGTCACCTAAGATGATACCAAACCACTGGACTACAATTAACGAAAGACCGATATGAATCAGAATAAGCAGAGCATCGCCAAAGCACCCAGTGGTTAATAAAACAGTATATTCCTTTATATCGTCTTACATATGTAACACTATGTACTTAAATGTTACTGTGTTTACAGGACCTTTATCTTGTTGTCCCTGATGGCTGTTGGAAAAATGTGTGGCCCCGCGGAATACGAAAGTCACGATGCTGAATGCTGTCCCATGTGTGGAATAGGTACTTTACTTATAGACTTAATTTCTTTATCAAACTAATAAAGCATATGGCCTTGCTGACCATTTGAAGTAAACTGAAAGTATAGTTTATTTTTTATACTTTCTTAAAGTTTGGTTGAAATTTTTATTCATGTATAATTAAAAAAATTAGATTTATTAATAAAACTGTTGTTTTCTTAATATAAGGTATGATTGTTTTGAGAGACTGCACATCAGATTCAAGCACAACATGCAGGCCTTGTGTTGACCAAACATATATGGATGAACCTAATGGTCTGAAACGCTGCTCTCAGTGCAAAATTTGTGATTCAGGTGAGATTAATTTTCCTCAGTATAATAATTTTTATTTCGACTAGATTAAAGTAAAATAATATTGTTTTACCTGTGATCTGCTTTTTCAGGGCATGGGCTTTATGTCCTTAGAAAATGTACCACATTTAGCAACACAGTCTGTGATGTTCTGGATGGATTTTATTGTGGAGCACTTTCAGGAGATAATGAATGCAGCTTCGCATTAAAACATAAGTCTTGTCTCCCTGGTCAGCAGATTAAAACACCAGGTAAGAATGTTACATTCCCCCTTAATCCCTTACATTGTAAAATTTCTTGCATTACCTAAACAAGCTAAAGCACTCAACACTGCTGGCCCAGGGTTATATAGATAGATACATAGAGAGAGAGGCGGATTTTTCTCTGAGGTGAAATTAAGATGCTAAGAAAGCACTTATAAGTTAGACGATGCAATGGGATGTATGACAAGTAACATAGGGTCAGGAATGAAAACGGTGCACATTCAGGGGTACACATTAATGAGAATGCATTACCCGGTAATGCTACTGAGAGTTACAGGATACATTAAATGTGGATCTGCAAATAATGTATGAATAGCATGCAGTTTAGTTCAGTGTCATGGGTGTGATGTGGCAGGTGGATGTGGGGGTCAGGAATTGTACGACACTCCACCCTGCCAGTGCACTGAAGCTGGTAATGTCTGGGGATTGTCATGCTTGTGACTGAGAGTCAAATATGTTAAAAAAACAATGTAGTGTAGTCTTACCCAAACCATTTCCCACATGTTACACTTTAATTTCAGTACCTGTCTTAGTAGGTTCTTGGTATGTTCAAAAGATATTGCATAACACTTACTCCAGTACTGCTTATGCATGTAACTGGGCATTCATTGGAAACTCAACCTAGCTACACTTATGCCTGATTGACTCCTTGATGGCTCCTTCAGTACCTCCAATTAAAGTCTGAACTAAAATCCATCCATTTTCTGTAACCTCATCCTGTTCAGGGTCACAGGGGGTCTGGAGCCTATGGGCACAAGGCAGGAAACAACATAGGATGGGTCGCCAACCCATCGCAGGGCACACTCACACACCCATGGGCAATTTGTTAACTTCATGTTATTGGACTGTGGGGGGAAACCAGAGTACCCGGAGGAAACCCCATTATGACATAGGGAGAACATGAAAACACCACACACATGGAACCCCGGCAGAGGCTCGAACCCTGGTGTGAGGTGACAGTGCTAACCACTTCACCACTGTGCCATCCCTACATCTCAAATCAATATATCACATAATAATTTACTCCCACCCCAATTAGTATAAAAGAAGCAGTAAAATAACTGACCAAAAGAAGACCCTTTCCAGATTATACAAACTAATATCCCAATCAAAGCATGGGAAGAAGATTTATCAATTACAAACAACATTGAATTCTGTACCCAAATATACAGGAACAATTTTACAATGACTAACACAACTTATACAGTAAAAGGTAATTCATAGAACTCACATCCCCCCGCACCGGATGTATAAGATGGTCTTACAGACTCTGATATATGCGTACACTAATATGTCTAATACCCAAGATGATTATTATCACTCTCCCTGGCTCTCCCTCCCTCTGTCCGTCCGTCTGTAGTCTTGTTCTTCCATGGCTGTCTGTCTCTGTATTTTGGTTTGGGTATAATGGTAGGGTAAGAGGGGGGGCGGGGGGTATGTGGAGTGGCTTTACCTCATGCTTTGAACTTGCATTGCACATTAAAAATACAGTAAAACCTTGGATTGCGAGTAACTTGGTCTGCGAGTGTTTTGCAAGACGAGCAAAATTTTAAAATAAATTTTAACTTAATAAACGAGGGAGGTCTTGCAATACGAGTATTACATATATACGCTTTGTCTGCCGAGTGTCACATGATCACAATTGAGCTGATGGTTTTTCTCTCTCACTGCAGGATTGTGGGTAATCATCTTTCATGCTCGGTCTCAGTCGGCGTGCCTCACTTGTATAGTCAAAATTTAGTAGGAAAGCACCACCCAAATAAGGCTGTAGCAGTGCGAGCGATGAATCTGTTTAATGACAATGCAATGTCACATTTCTGTGAAATTGAAAAGGAGGCAAAAGCAGCTGTCATTGGATAGGTTCCTTGTTAAAGTCGCACAAAAAGAAAAAGATTCCAGTGAGCCAACAGATAGCAGTGATTCCGTTATAGTGAAAGTTGTCCTACAAAATAACCATCCACAATTCTTTTTAAAGGTAAAGTGCAGGTTAATTTGTTTTATGTATTTTTACTTTATATTTTGCATTAATAATTTTTATGTGAATATGTTTGGGTTGTGGAACGAATCCTCTGAATTTCCATTATTTCGAATTTGGGAAAATTCACTTTGATATACGAGTGCTTTGGATTACAAGCACGTTTCTGGAACAAATTATGCTCGCAAACCAAGCACCACTGTATAGTAGTCCTCTAGGGAGTGGGGGGAGTTTTCTTTGAGTAATAAAGGGCTGAGTAAAAGTTTCATGCCTGAATTTACGTATAAAGGGTCATCGGCTGGGTGCTGATAAGCCTGAGACAGGGCAGGATGATGACTTCCCTCAGTGGTGTGTGAAAGCAGTTGACCAGCTTCCTCTGCAAGCTGAAGCTCCATCACTTCCTTATGAATCTATTGGTGCCATAGGAAACGTGAGCTGCTTCCCGTAATCCGTGATGAAGTGGCTGAGACCCTCAGTGTCCTCACTGTGTGATTCGCAGATCATGTCCCAAGCCTTCTGCTGTAAAGCATCCCGCAGAGCCTCCTCAGCTTCCCTCGCCTGTTTATTTACAGACAATAGCTGGCAGTTGTTGAATGCTGAGTGTCTATGTGGGGGTGAGATGTTGAGGTTTCATCACACACCTATACTTATTAATAGAGGTCACAGTCATCCAAGTTCATGATGCCAGATCCTCACCAAGGACCAGCAGCATGAACTGGCTGTTAGGAGGGTGGAGGAGACATAAAACCTGATTAAAATTCCTGAGTCTAACGCTGAAGGTATTTTTGTGGTCTGTGATGAGTTTGCTAAACAGAGTTTATCCCTCATTTTGGCTGCAGTGTCTGCAGCAGGTAAGGAATACACAACATAAACAGCAGCCTGTGACAGCTCCCTCTGCAGGTGATACCGTGGGATGAGTATCTCTGCATCACGGTGGCAAACCTGTGCTTTAACGGTGTTCTGTCCTGGACAGAACCATCTGTTCACAATCATCTCACATCTCCCATCCTTTATCTTACCATTTTTACCAGTATGAGCAATATGAAAATCATACACTGCAACAGGAGTCAGGAGAATCGACTCTCAGAGGAATGTCCGTAAAGCACATGAGACTATGTCATTTGTATTCCTGCTCCTGCCACTCCTAGTCAGCACTGTGAGATCATTGATTTTGTTAGCCTGGGAATTTACCTTATCTATAATGACAGATTGCATCTGTATTTTTCTCCTTTTGTTTAGAAGCCAGACAAGCTGGACAGCTCCTTTACCTTGTTAGCACGGTCAGCTCTATAGGCAGCTGTTGATAGATTGGTAGCTGTGTTGCATAGATAGACAATAGAACCAGGGCCAGCAGCTGTTACCTTGTGCAGGAGAACAGCAAGCCTTCCTTACTCTTTCTGCAGTTTGTAGATGAAAATATTCCGAAAACTTAGATAACATTCCTGCTGTATTTCATGTTTAAACGTGCAGTGTTTTAAAGTTTTGCAGACTTAAAGCAACACACCCAATTAAATAAAACAACAGAAAGAGACAAAACACATATGAGCTGCTATTGCAGGCTGATGATGAATTTTGCTCATTAACAATTAATCACTTCTGAAGGATCAAAGATGAGAGATGTGGAGTGTGAGGACTGTCCATACGGCTATTACTCAACACAGGGTGTAAATTGCACACCATGGAAAATGTGAGTAAGCCTTTCTTAAATGTGAGAGAAGTTAATTCAGTGGACTGTTACACCTGTCAGTCTAATTTCTGCTCACTTGTTTCATGAAGTAACAGTTGTCATGAATGTGCAGAGTTTCATATGTTTGCAAATCATAATTAAATAATTTTGTTCATTTTCAGCTGTAACATTGATGAGGAGAAGATTGAAGATGGAACCAAAGAGAAAGATGTTGTTTGCCAGAACTTAACCAGGAGACACAGATATATTCCGTGTTTTGTTGGCATATTATTTCTGATTCTTTCAGCTGGATTGTTTCTGTTACTTTGTGCAAAGGGTCAGTCAGTGTTTTTGTACATTTTCAGAAGTAACTATGAAGTGTTTTCTGCTTTGTACATTTATTTGTTTGTTTATTTATTTCTATTATTTTAATAGCCATCCAACTGATGTAGGCATTGATTTTTTTTTCTGTTCTAATAGCAGATAATTGCAGAAGTTGGAAGGTAAGTTATTTTCTATATTGAATTGCTAGTTTGATTTTTTTAATACATCAATACTATTGGTATTAGTAGTTATTAGTACTGATGAAAGGCATTTCTGACTTTGTTCTTAGAAATCCTGTTTTTATTAGTTATATTTCTACAGATTTGTCTTTCTAACAATTCTTTGTTAGAAAGTAATATTCTATCCCTTTGACCAGTTTCCAGTACAAGAATCAGACAGAAACTCACAGACAGGAGGAACACATTCATGGTATG